TCGATATTGTTTTTAACGTTATGTGACCCACGCACACATTGTTTCAGTGGGGGATCAGACCTTTGGTCCTCAAACCCCACTTTCACATTGTATATATAAAATATTTAATTTGATATTATAATATTATAACAATTAGGATAAGATAATTAAAGAAGAATGGAAAGATAATGTGAAATACTCATAAAAATAAATGATCTAATTTTTTTTTCTTTATTTTCATTTTCTACCAATTCTTAAACTTTTCTTTTATTATTTGTAAAATATTAACATCTATTTCTTTTTGAAGAAATTTTTTCTTTTAGTATTTTAATAGTTCTATTTTAAGAATAAATTGTATTGTTTTTATATTTTTCATATTCTTTAATACTAAAACTTATATTTTTTTAGAAGATAATATTTTTCCGTTAGATTCAACTTAAATTTCATGAAATATAATATTTTTTTACTTTTATTATTTTTGTTATTTTCATGATTTTTTTTATCAATTTTTTTTCAATCTCTTTTTAAATTACAGTTAACTCTTATTATAACGAATTCTATATTCTAGATCTCAACTTCGCTATAAGGCTATAGTGAAGATTTTAAGAGATTTGATTAGCCAATTCGCTATAACAAGAGTTTTTTATTATATTTGTTTAAAAAATTTGTTATATCAAGAGTTCGCTATATCAAGAGTTGACTGTACAGTATAATGTTATTTTCTTTTATTTTACATTAACTATCTTTGAATTTCTAATTCTTATACTTGAGAAATAATTGCAAATTTTTATAAACAAGTTGTCTTAACTTATCAATTATCTCTGAAATATTAAAGCTAAGTATGTATTGAATAGATTGGTAAAATCAAGACTATATTTCTTTAGTATATAATAAAGCAGAACCCATTTAAAGCCTTATACCTTTCTTTCAAGATATAATATATCAGGTCAAACTTCTTCAATAAAAAATAACTGATTATTATTTTCTAAAATTGACAACTTAAATCATTTTTTACCTGTAAATATTAAACCATAATATTGTTAATGGCTATTTACATAAAAGAAACAGATAATAATGGTATTAATGAATAATCTACTGCTTTTTAATTATGAAAAAAAGGTAATCAGTATCATAATTTTTTTCTTTAGTAACAGAGATATTTTTTTGTATCAGAAGTGAAATCAAATGCCTTTAACTTTTTATGTAAATCCAAACATGAAGGCTAGAAGAATAATCAACTACTATTCAACTACTATTTGTTCGTTTAAAAGCTTTACGATTGTTAGAATCTTGCATAACAAGTGTTGTGTACCATTTAAAAGATATTATCTATATAATAAGATAATTATTTTTATCAATATAAGAAAATCTTCTACTTTATTCATAATGACATACAAGTAAACTTCATTTTTATGTTATTTATGTGATTCTTGACAGTTTTTCTTAGTATAGTTACATTTATGAGAAAAAATTGCACTCATGAAAAAAGTGTCAAGTTACTTTTTTGCTATGGTACAGGTTATCTAAAAGGCAAACAGTCTGAATTTTTTTTTTGCCAATCATAGACCTGTCACGTGATCTTTATCCAATTAAAAATCATCACATGAATTAAAATTATCACATGATTAAATATCAAATCATTAATTTATCGAGTTTTAATTTATTAAATTTTTTGTATTAAAATAAATGAAATTTATTAATTTATTTTATTTAATTCCTCTAATACATTTTCAAGAATTTTTCTATGTGATTCTATAAAAAATTTTCCTATTTTATTCCGAGTTACGTTTTTTAGTGCAGCTTTTCTTTTATTAAGTCAAGGCATGCTGGAAAAATTTTTAAAAAAAAAGTCTGTTCAACCCTATAAATTAAAATTCATCATCATCGTTATCATCGTGTTACAAATTTTTATGTGATCAATTTCATTTTATTGGACAAAATTGTTGTCACATGATAAATCACAAGTCCGAAATTTAAACATTTTATAGGAAAATTACCAATTTTCAAACGCCTAAGGCTCAAAAAATTTCTAATCAACTAGAGATTTGAAGTCGTAACTTTTATTCTCTATTGTTTATATTATTATTATTACAGATTGTTTTTTTTTTATATCATGTAGAACAAAAGTTTTAGGATTTTAAAGTCATACAATTTTATTTCTATTTATAGATGATCTGCATCATATTTAAAATTTTTTTATCACAAATTGAAAGATAAAGTTTTCAAAGTCATTAACTACAGTTTGCAATTATGTTTTTACCATCTTTTTTAAAAGTGGACTTGTACGAAAGTCACGGTAAAAAAAAATTTTTTGACATAATCTACTAAATAATGATTACATAATTTACTCTACCCTTAAGAGCTGAATGTAAATGTTTCTAATTTATAACTAAATCAAATGATCTGATATCTATATAAATGTCATTTGCTATGATCGACAAGCGACATGCCAGATACGCTACGCATCTTTTCTATCGAAAATAAAAACAGAACTATGATAAATGTTGAGCAATTCGAGAAAGGGACAGAAAGTTACTAGCAGAGATAAGGAGAAGGCTGTTGGTGTAGGAGTACAAAGACGAAGAAGAAAAAAAGCTGTGGAAGGAGACGATAGATGGGCTTGCGGCAGAGAAGAAGAGGCTCTAGCTATTATAAGGTAACGAGTTTGTAACTCAGACATTGGGACATAGAGTAATGTACATAGAGTAGAGTAGGTTATTGTTGTGTGTTTTTTTTATACCTGTTGTGAAGCTATGATCATGATTCGAAATAATTATCTAAGTGTCGTTGTCTCAATGGAAGTATGAGTTTAACCATGTCTTTTCCTTACAGCACGTATAGAACTTGAAATCGAAAACTGTATTATTGAACAGAAACATTTAGGACTTGAAGTCGAGAAAGAGAAGACCTGTTGGATGATTCTAGGTCAAGAACGTGAACGTGAAAGAGGTATGAGTTTAGGCTATGGTAACTTTTTTCACTAAACCACATCTTTTTTAATGTTACCAGGCTCCACGACACGTTCTTAACTTATCAACGCCCAGATCACCATTGCAGACTTTTTGAAATAGATAAAAGTCGACTAACTTAAAAGTCTTCCCAATGAGGTCATCACATACTTGAACACAATTGACAAGCCTTAACTATATCAAGGTGAAACGAAAATACAAAATTGGTTCAATAAACTCATGGAGATTATGAACGAAACATGGAAAGTATGTATAATGGAAATTCACAACAATCCATACCTCAATTGGCTCAAGCCAGACATCAGCATATTTGATTTCTAAAATATATCTGATAGCGTCTGTATTCCAACATTTGTCTGAGAGTTAAAACTACAAAAAAGTGAAACTTCAAACTTTAATAACGAAGACAAAGGACAGCTAATTGACTATATCTGGATTCTCACTCAGCAATAACCATTACGTCAATAATTTCACTCTGATGATCTAACTTTTATATTATAGTCTATTATAGGAATAACAGGCAGTATTCAGAATATTCAACTACGTTCAGGGAGAGTATTAGGTTGTTTTTTACTATCCTTAATATTGAATCAGTATTGCTTGATCTTAATATGCCAAATCTGAACTCAACTGAGATAATTCTGAGGAGATTTCTCGGCCAAAGCTTATAAGGACTGGTGTATGCAGTTGACTATAATAATAGTACAGCTGTAGTGAAGATTGCTTTAGCTGACCATTCCTTGGAACAAGAAAACACAATCCTGCAATTATTAAATGAACAGAATGTCCTGAACATTCCAATATGCATTGGATCAGATGTAAATATGATGCTTATATAACCAGTTTGCATACAGATTAGTCACAATTTTTAACGTCATCATGCACATGATCTCCTGGATCATTTGAAGTGTATTCATGGAATGAGAATAATCCACAGAAATGTCTGTCAAATATCATAATCGATCCACAAGGTAATGTTATACAGTCATCCTTCTCTATAGTCACCCCTATACAATCATATTATATAAATCCCTCATTATAAGCACACATTTTGTAAGAACTAATACTTATTAATGCTATATAAAAAATCCCGCAACTGTTAACATAAATGTTACAACAACAAGAGGCTGATAATAGTAATCAGTCTTTAAACTAGAAGGTGTATCTTAAGAGGGTAATAGTATAGAACCTTCTACAGTTCCCTCAAACTTATCTATACATAATCACACACTTCCAGAACTAACACTTAGTAACAACATATAAAAATCCCCCTATATAGTAACTTTTTATTATAATTACACTTTTTATTTTTAGTTCTGAGGGGTATGAATATAAAGGGAATGACTGTATTCATTGACTAGAGATCATCACTTAAGTTAGCTAAGTTAACTGGTTATGTTGATTATGAAAGAACCATAATCTATGCATCTCCTGTCATCTTGACAAATAATCTGAAAAGATATGTATTCAAAATATCTGATGATCTTCATACTTTTATTCACATAATGTTCAGTTTCTACAATTAACATTCAAACTAGACATTGATAGAATTGCAAAATCTATTGAGGGTTTTTAAAATAAAGCTTTTAGTTCTGTATTCTGAAATAATATGGTTAAAGCAGCTAATAATTGTTAGTATAATGACTTAGAATAGGTTTGTGATCTTTTCTTTCTATAGGTATCCTAATACTTTTATATAATATAATAGATAGAAAATAGCAGGTAATACAAATAACACATTAATGCAATAAAATATATATATACTAGTATTATAATAAAATTTTGTTAAATTTAATATGTATTCATAAGAGCACATATACATGTAATATTAATTATCAAATAATAAAATGTAACATAGTTTATATATAAAGTAAATATACAATTGAAATATTTATTAAATGTAAACGTAATAAATATGAAATATCAGGTTTAATTTTCTATAATTATATGAATATTAGATGATATTTCACTGATACTTTACCTATATTTTATGATAATTCAAGAGTATCATATAAATATAAGGCAAATATCAGCATTATCAAAAACCTGATTTTTCTCTGATTTCTATCTGAAATTTATGAAGTATTTATATCCTAATATTTTACCAAAGTTATCTAGAATCTTAGTAAAAATATGTGAAGAATCAGAAATAATTGTTGGTTAAGTATCATGGTAAATTCAGGAAAGAATCAGTAAAGAATCAGGATTATGATTTTTTACCAATGTTTCTCTTTTCAACCTGTGATATTTTATATGATTTAATTTATCATATAAATCATTATTCTGAAGAATAATATACAGTCCTTATCAAAAGTAATGGCGGACAGTTTTTTTAACCTTATAAATGTAATTTTATATCAAATATAGGTAAATTTTTTTTTAAAATAAAGATAAAAACAATATTTATAAATTTTATTAGATAAT